TATATGTTCCAAGATAAAGGCTTAGTAACTGTGGGATTCTTCATATTTCTCTATTTAAGTTCTTGTTTAATAATATTGGCGGTTGAATGCTTGATGGTAACTGTCTGGTTCCTGTTGACTGTAGGTGTGGTCTGCACCAAATTACTGCTACCGGTGTGGGAACGTAGCTTCTATATTGAGCTTCAATGACAATATGGTGAGTATGTTGCATTTTCTTTACTATAACGAGTGTGAAGAACAGTTGTGTTATGTTATTTGTGTATAATTTTGCATGGTTAAGATATCACAATGGATGACATTATGTAGCATGGAAACTACATGGACCTATGCATGCTTGTACTTGGTTGAGGACAGGGGAAACTGTAAAGAGATTTCTTTGGGGCTGGAAAAAAGTGGGATAGAATCGAGGTAGGTAAGAAGACCAAGTGAATCATACAATTGGCTGGAGAAAAAGAGTATTCTTATCTTATTTTTGATTTCATTTCCTTTTATACATGGTGTTTGGAGCAAACGGATACTGCAAAAATCATGGAGTTCTTTAGAGAGTACATTCTATGAAAATGTTTGGAGTGCCTATTTGCAAATGAAGTATTCTGGAATCATAAGCTAGGCCTTTTTGGGTCCATTTGCCTTGGTTGACTCTTTCTTGACTTGTTTCAAGACATATCCCCTTTTGGCTTTGTTGTGTGTTTCCTGATGTTCCGAATAGAAGTAGAAAATATATCTAGAGAAGCAATTAATGGTTGGTATTGATTGGGTACATATTTAATATAAAAGTCAGACTCTCATCTTTGGCACATATGATGGTCATCTTCCTTCTGTTACCCAAGGCTGTTTATTTCATAGCTTTTTCCGTGAGCTAGAGTTTTCCTAGTTTCCTAAGTTTCTTGTGAACTTTTCAGGAAAGAGAAGTGAAGTTCTTCACTGAAACAGAGGAGAACAACCAGATGAGAGGACCCAGAGCAGGAGTTCCTTATTTCTTATGATAAGACGGAATTATCTGCTGCATTACTTGTACGATTATCAAAGTACTGCAAAGAAGCCTTGAAGAAAGTATCCATTACATTGTTTGCAGTTTGACATTTCTTTTGCTTGGGTGGAAATCCTGCACATCTGGTCCAGGCTGTTTCTAAGGATTCCGCGGGTTTGTGTATTAGATTGATGTATCTCACCGTAATTATTTGTCAGTTAGTGTCTCAATATCTTCTTTGTTAGGGCATAGTTTTGAAACATTCCAAATAGCATGTGGCTTACTCAATCGTGAATTTGTCCACTATATTTTTACTTACGTGTCAGCTATCTTCCATTTCTTGTTGGAACAACTTGGATTCTAAATTGAATTTTTGTTATTCTTAAATATGTTGTTTTCTTATACGGAGTGAATTACTAGGTGTGTTGCTTTCTTCATCTTGACAATTTTTAGCAGTTCTGCAATTTTTTAAGGGGAGAAATGCAGAGCTGAAGCACCAAATATCAGCAGCCAGTACAGTTTTCATTTACTTCACTTTCTGTGATATGATGAGATATCAATCAAAATGGCTTATCTACTTTTTTCAGTGTTCAATATGATGAACTACCAGGAATTGTCTTTTTCTGCTGATTCCAATGCATTTGATTTTAAATTGTGCATCTAAAATTCTAGTATACTTCAACTCTCCAGTGAGCCATAATAAAACCTTTTGTTTGTGCCAGACTTTTGTTCCGGAATTGTAACAAAGGATGGAGTTGGAGTGTTTAAAATTGTGCCCAAGTGCATGGGTGATGTTTGCATTGTTTAGACTTGTCTGATTTATCTATTTAGATCATTAGGTTCCATTGGATTTCTTCTAACTCTACCATTTATGGAGAGAGCATTTCATTCTCTTTTATGTAATCCAAAATTTTGGTGTTAAAATGTATTCTTCGTTACAATTTGATAACTTGAGTCTTCTGTCTATTTGTTTCTGTACTTCTTTTTTTGAAATAATATTTGTTTCTATACTTCTATCTGAAACTTTTTAAATTTTTCATAGGCTTCAGGGTTATGCTTCATTAGATATATGTATCCATATTTTGAGAAGTTACACATAAAAATTATGAAGTAGAAATATATAACTTGTGTTTTTGTCAACGTTTGCATAGAACAATGCAAAATTAAAATTAAAATTAAAATTACTTTAAAGGCACCTTGTATTAGCTTATATCTATTTTTTAATGAAAATGTATACTCTTCGTTAATCTAATACAAAAACAAAGATTTTGTTCTTCAAAGTGGAAAATGCATAATACATATTAATGAATTTTAAAATTTTGCTTGAAGATAAAGATGCTCTCAATATACGACTAAATAAATACAAATACTGACTCCTTGGAAATGGATTCTGAAATATGATGGCAATTTTAATGTTAAATTTTTTTATAATGTAGTGATGGCAGCGAAGCTCCATTGTTCTATTACAAACTAATGTTGGAAAGCTCATGCGCCACATAGAATTGATTTCATGTTCATAAATTTACTTGTCCTCTTCTTATGCTCCATTTATTTGTCAGTAGTTTATAAATCAAGGTAAATATGTGTCTAATGCCTAATATTCAAAATGACTGTTCAACAAAACAATTTTAACTTCATTATTAACACACTTTTAAAAAGTCTTTAAAAGTCTTTTTGGGTGAGTTTCGGTTAAAACTTTCAATTTATCTTCCAATATTTCCCTTCCCTTATTGCCAAAATGAAGACACTTTCTCTTATCCATAGACTCTTTTTTATTCTTTAACCCCAACATTCTTACTATTTTTCTCGTGTTTGATGGAAATTACCACTATTAATGTATATTAATTTTTTTTCCATTCTTCACAATACTCTTTAAATTCTTTCAAATATTCAGAGAATTATTTGTAGATTGAAAAATAACATTTGATAGTGACAACGAATATAAAGAATAAACAAGAAAAAATAAATAGAATTTAATGTATTATGCACATTATATTTAGTTTTATAGCATATAAATTTAAACCATCTATCAAATTCATTTTCTATATCATATGAGAATCACTAGATAATTTCTTAATCATTTTCACATCAAACAACTTTATAAAACTAGAAAACTTTAAGACTTTTATTTTTTTTTCTCATGAAACGATTCTTATTGATGATCCTTTTTACTTTTATTTTTGTCATACTTTTCATGCAATTTTTGGTAACTGTTCGATAAAAAAAAATCAGTATTTAAATACTGTCAAAATTTATTTTGTCCTTCAATATCATGTAATTATCAAATTCTGATTTGAAAACAAACTGTAAATAATTTGAAATTTTGTAGAAATATATACAATAATATTTTTTTAATCTTTTATATAAAATATGAGAATATGTTTGTAATTTTTTATATTTACAAAAAAAAAGAAAAACTGTAATATCTCAATTATTATTTTATACTTGCTTATTTTTTTTTATCAAACCCGTGCAAATTTCTTGAATAAAATGAGCAAGTATACACTTTACCTTTCTTTTGGTGATTAGTTTTTCAAGATAATTAATAAATTAATGTAATTATTATTTCTTATGACCATTTACCAACAAAATGTGCTTATATTATATGTATTATATCATACTACGTCATACTGCTGATTTTTGTTATTTTTATTTTAAATTATTATTATTAAAAATTATGGAGCGGGAGTTCAGCGGTAGAATAATAATTGGAGAAAATGATGCAGCGTTGTTTTCTCAGCCGGCGCCTTCATTTTGGCGTTTGCAGCAGCTTTGTCAACGCTTCAGTCTTCTCGATTCCTTTCCTCAGAGGACTCCCGTATCGTTCTGGTCAGTATTAGTTTCATTAGGTATTGAACCGTACATAAAATTCTATTTGTACTTGTTCTCTTTGACGTATATATAAGCAACTCTTAATCAATGGACGTTAGAAATTTCCAATAGTTTATTCAAAGATCGTAATTGTAGCTCTCAACGTATTCGTATTCTTCGTCATAATCTGCGGCGGTAGTGTTGATGGCTACAATGGAGACGAGAATGCCACCAGTGGCGAAGAAGGTGGAGCATATGATGGAGATGTTCGGCGACGCCAGGGTAGATAATTACTACTGGCTGCGCGATGACTCCCGCACAGATTCTGAAGTCCTTTCTTATCTTCGGGAAGAGAATGCCTATACTGACTTCTTTATGGCTGGTGATTTTTCTATTCCTTTAACTAGAATTCTCTGTGTTTGTTTCCTAGGAAATTTGCGATGTCGACGAACCAAAAAAATGCCTAGAAAAAGTTTGTTTAGTGTTTTTAGTGGTTTTGATTATCTGGGAGTGAACATAATGTGAGAGAGATTTGTGTGTAAATGTGTTGACCTGTTAGGATGTTGAGACATGTTTTGGGACTCCACTTTTTGCTTTTGTAAATTGAAGTTACATACACTTGGATGTTTTTTGGATTTTCAACAAAAAAATGAAAGCTATACCAGAATTTTAATTCAGGTTACTATCAGTGTAGCAGAATAAAGTAATGTGGCTGTGGTTGAGGTGCTAAATCCGTAAGTTTATGTGGAACTGCTTTTAAAAAATTTATGCACTAATGCATGTTTTGTTCACTACTTAGATATTAGATTCTGGAAATATGATTTTGAGCATAGCTAGAAAATAGATCTTCTGAATATCTTTCTCTCGCAAATTTTTTCCAGGCGACATCTATCTTGATTATCATCTGTGGAACAATTTTTTATTTCTTTCAAAGATTTTCCACTTGCTTTCATATTGGTTATTAGTTAATAATACAAAGGTCATATTTTAATGAGATATTGTCCTTCTTGATGAACATAAAATCTGCCTTAGGGACCAAGCAATTTGAGGATAAGCTTTTTGCCGAGATAAAAGGGCGAGTCAAGGAGGATGATATATCTGCACCTCTACGCAAGGGGCCTTACTATTATTACAAAAGGACTTTGGAAGGGAAGGAATATGTTCAGCACTGCCGGCGCCATATACTTAATTTTGATAGTCCTCCTTCTATTTATGATACCATGTTGAGTGAACCTGATTCACCTGAGGAGTATGTAATCTTGGATGAGAATATGAAGGCCCTGGAGCATGAATTTTACAGTATAAGGGTATTCAAAGTAAGAGCAGTTGTCCCCTCCCAAATTTGATTGCAATAATTTTACTGGAAAGTGAAACTAGATTGAACCTTTTCTTACGAAGAAGTTGGAGTAAAAACAATTTTTGAACTCTTATTTTGGCAGTTGATTTATGATTAAGCTTTTTCTTTCATTTCAGGTCAGTCCTAATCATAAGCTGGTTGCATATGCGGAGGATACAAAAGGAGATGAAATATATACAGTTTATGTCATGGATGCTGAGACTCAAGAACCAGTGGGGGAGCCTCTAAAAGGTATAACCTCTGATGTTGAATGGGCTGGTAATGAAGCTTTAGTTTACATCACAATGGATAATATTCTTCGGCCAGACAAGGTATAATTTTCTAGAATAGTTTATCTGCTATTATAAGAAAATCTTTCTCTCTCTATCTCTTTTTCTCTATCTATAAATTTATCTATCTATCTATCTGTAGACTTACTTTGCTTCCTTGCCGAATGGCACCTTATTGTTCCAATCTTACTGTTCTTTTATCTGTGTCAATAATTTTATATTGTTTTTTTTAAGTAAGTGAGTAATTTTATATTGTAAAATTATAAATAATTTCCTGAATAGTTATTTCTGTTTCTTCTCAAAAAAATAATTACTTTCCTGACTTCTTAAGCTCTTTTGCAATAGTTAGAGAAAGCAATTAAGTCAGAAATTTGACATGTTCACAAGCTGTACTATGTATTCCATGATGCTTGTTGTTTTTCTTCCAGTATCTTGATTTGTTGCAACTCCAAAGGAGATTTTTGTTTTGTACACAGTGATCATTACTTGAAAGTAACAGAAGTTGAAGGTTACTGCTTAATTATTTTACTAGTAATTTCCTGGTCATTTCTTATAATAAAAGCTTCTCATTAAAGAAGATATTAACACTAGGATAGAGAGGTTGCACTTTATGATACTGTTTTTATAGACTGGTTTTGTTTTGTTTTCTTAATAAAGTTTCGCATTATTTTTAAATTTTAATTGGCTGATATACCAGATTTTTGGGAAGAGCCTGAAATATAATCTTTTTTTCTTTTAAAAATTTATTTAGTTTTCGAGAGGTTCTATTAAAATGTATTGGAGAATTAGTTGGTACATCTTTGATATTTCACCAAAATAGTTGATCCCCACAAGGTTCTTCCTCTGGTGCGTGTTTGTTTATAGACTTTGGACCCTTGCTTATAGCCTTGTAGGTATTAAATGGTTGATGGCCGGTTCGGTAAGGGAGGAGATCGGGCTTGGAAAGGGACAAGTAATGTGAAGAAATATGTAGGCCTTATTCCCCTAACTACTTTTTAGATAGTTTGAAAAGAAAGAAATAGGAGAGTTTTCGAGGTATAGAATCTAGAGTACAGACCCTAGGATTTTTGATTAAGGGTCATCCTTTTTATTCTTGTGAGGATCTTGGAGACCTTTTTGATATTTGACTTGACATGTAAATATTTCTGTACATGGATTTACAACCCTTGGTTCTTGTGAATAGATATATTTTATTTCAAAAAAAATGTTGAACATTTGAATTTTAATGTGATATATGGTGCTTGGTATCCGTGCTTCATGTTTTAGTTTCTGGTTTGAAAACCACAGAATGATTTTTTCTTATGATGTTTATGCTTCATTGACATTTGTTGTAATGATTAAAGTTCCAAAGTTACTTTTTTGTCAATTCAAATTCTAGTAAAAGTTATTAGTTTTTGAATGGCATCCTTGACTATATCTAAGTTGACATTTACATTGTTAGCTTGGTTGTACAAGATTTTAATGTGGCCTGATGAAAGAAAAGGAAAAGAATACTGACTCTGTTATAGGATTAACTGATGTTCATCTTAAGATTTTTTGTTCAGTCTTGTTTCATGCTAAGTGATCTGGTTATAAATCTTCTTTAAAAGATTTGGTTTGTATGTAGGTGGTCATTGTTGTGGAATGCTTTGTCGTTATTTATGTCCTAAGCCAAATGGTATTACTGAAGTTGATTGACCTAACTACTATGGATTTTTAGTTGCTACATACTTTTAGATGTTTGGCAGATATTTCTTCATTATTGAACCTTCTTTTACTTATCTAGAAATCATTAATCTTTCTGGCTGGGCTTATCTTTGTGATTCCTGCTTATGGTTTCTCTTCTTCTTCTTCTTTTATTATTATTGATTTTTATTTTTTATATCTGCAGGTGTGGTTTCATAAGTTGGGAACTGACCAAGCAAGTGATTGCTGCCTTTACCATGAGAAGGATGACATGTTTTCTCTTGATCTTGAAGCTTCTGAAAGTGAGAAATTTTTGTTTGTTGGATCTGGAAGCAAAATTACAAGGTTTGTCTTCTATCTTGATGTTTCCAAGCCTGATGAGGGACTTAGGGTTTTGACACCTCGCATAGACGGCATTGATACAGCTGTTAGCCACCGTGGAAATCACTTTTTTATTGAGAGAAGAAGCGATGAATTCTTCAATTCAGAACTGCTAGCTTGTCCAATAGATAATATCTCTGCCACAACAATTCTCATTCCTCACAGGAAAAGGTAGTAAAATTGAAACTTTCTGCTTCTTTTTATGTGTGACAAACTTTTGCTGTTACTGATGTCCTTAAACAAACTTCTTGTTACATTGTTGCTTACTGTTTTATTTTTCAAGTTATGGAATTCAATGCTCTCATAGACATTACTGTGTACAGTGTAAAGATTCAGTATGTGCAACTTTTTCGCGATCATCTTGTTTTATTTGAGCGTGAAGATGGTCTGCCAAGAGTAACAACTTATCACCTTCCGGCTGTTGGAGAACCCCTTGAAAGCCTTCAAGGTGGTCGGTCTGTTGACTTTATTGATCCCGTATACTCGGTCAAACCATCAGAATCACAATTTGATTCTTGCATTTTACGGTTTTCCTATAGCTCAATGAGGACACCCCCATCTGTTTATGACTATGATATGAACACAGGAATTTCTGTTCTGAAGAAGATTGAAACAGTAAGATTACCTAAGCAAATGCTATTTATAACTGATTCTTTTGATTTCTTGCTTCATCATGATTTTCCATGGATGTGCATATATTTTTCTGTATATATTCCTACGCTACTAGGTTTTGGTTTAATTAAAGGTTGATCAATTGAGTGCTTTCCTTGTTTTGTTTGAATCTCCTGAACTAGTATCTTATGTTACCTTTGAATTTTGGTTATTTTAAATAAAAGTTTTTTTATGTGTTAACCAAAGTTTGATGTACAAAAAAAAATTTGTTAACCAAAGTGTCTGGATGATTTAAATGTTCTTGTTACACACACACACATAAGTGCAGATGGTTGCACGTACATGCTTGTAGAAAGTGAAGTAAATGTCATTTTCGAAAAGAAGGTAATCTGAAGCCATATTAATACTTCTATTGTTATTGCTTCAATACTTGGGACTTTGAATTAAAATGGGAGGTTTTATGCTTGAGAACAAAAGTGCAATTCTAGTAGTCAAGTATTTTGTTTCCTCTGCCAATTGGCACAATTCTGGTCTCATTCTAATGTTTTTCATGACTTCATAAAAAAAATATTTAGGCTGCTTGTTATGTGAAATATTTTTTAGTTTTTATTCCCTAATTCATATATGCTTTTTACATAAAAAATTTTCTACTTTGGCAGTCATGTAGATTGTACCAAGTATAACTGAAAACAATTTTCTAGAAAAGACTACAAATATTTTTATTCATTTGAAACTCAAATCACATCATGGTCAGTAGTGCAAAAGAAGGCGAAAAATCACATAAAAGGGGTTCATGAATAAGCGGGAAAGTTGGGTGGCAATAAAGCTTATTGTTTTGACGTACAGTTCTGCTTTAAGACTTAGTTGGGAACATTTTGCTTGTGATGACTGAGTTGTAAATATTTGTATATAGGTTGCACCCCCTTGGTACCTATACTAATACTTTTATACCTTTTATATAAAAAAAAAAGACTTAGTTGGGAACAAAATAAAATAGGAAGTTGGCTTATGTAGGAATAAGATAAAGTAAGAGATCTGTTTGTAGTAATAATTGGTCAGTCCATAAATTGTTGTTATTTAGGAACAAAACTGAATAGAAATGTTATGTATTTAGAAATAAAATGAATATGAATTTGAGTTATGTAAGAATAGATAAACTAGGTAAAGGAAGTTGAGTTATGTANNTAGGAAGCTGAGTTGTGTGGGAATGAAGTAAGATAGAAACTTGGTGTGGTAGGATGAATTAGTTCTACAATATTGGGAAATCAATAGCAATTGTTTTCTCTATAAATATGAACGTGATTTCATAAATGAAGATCAGATAATAATTTAAAACAAGGAGATTTTACAGCCCTCAGTTCTAGAGTACGAAGGGCAGAACATGGATAATTTACAGTCCTCAGTTCTAGAGAATGAAGGGTTCTCTCTAATGAACACAGTTGTAGGCCATCAAGGTTGAAAATTAAATTATGAAAAGACCAATACTAATAGGATTAGAATATAATACTATGAAATACAAATAAGAAACAGAATACTAAAAAGAAAAAAATTCTGAAGTTACCAAAACTATATAATAATAGACTCCTATGACTTTTCTGGCTTGCGGAGGATGTCTTATTCTCCTTGATTGTATTCTTCTTTTCCTTCTCTATTAATAATACTTCTTCTATCAAAAAAATAATAATAGACTCTTAAATAAAAAAATAATTTTATATTTAAAAGAACTATATTATCTATTTAGTCAATCAAAAAAATCTAACCCGCTTAGCATTATTTTTTTTTTTTTGGTTGGAAAAAACTCGGCCACAAGTTCTGAAGTGGCAAATAATTTAGAATTTTTTATCTTCAAGCTTTTCATTGAAAATTTAACAAACTCAAGGGAGGTGTTTCAAAAGAAGAGAGGTGGGGTGCTTTTGAGAGGCACTTTCTTTGCTATTTTGTGGGTACTCCCATTGGAGAAATAACACTAGAGTGTCCAGGGATTATTATTTACCTTAATCTTTCCTTTGGTATAGGTTGATCTCTTTTGTTTATACATGGGACAGGGTTTTTGGGATATTCTGTTTGGCTATTTTGCAGCGAGATAGAGAAGGAGTTGCATTGATTTTTTTTTTTTTTTATAAATTTTCTCATTTCTAGTTTCTTCTTTTAGGGGGATTTGTTATGCTCTATCATATTCTTCTATTCTCTTTCCAATAATATTTCTTCTTCTATTAAATTAACTGACCTTTGATAATACTGGTTATTTTTTTAAGATCATGATTTAGGTATTGAAAGGTTAATATCAATCCTGATCGTTCTGCTTGTTCCCCATCCCCCTCCCCCCCTTCGCTCCAGCAGCTACCTTCTAGTGTATGTGATTCAGCTTCATCATGTAGAAATACAATTTAAAAAAAGACAGCTTCAGAAACAGAAATTAGAATCTTAGCTGCAATTCTCGGTTTCTTTTGTGTTCATATTCATTCAAGTTTCTCAGTACGAAAAATGATACAATTCTTTCCTCAAAACCAAATTATTTGAAGATTAACATAACAAAACCATTCTTCAGTCTATTATATGAAGACTGAAAACATTGTGGATATACATGATAGAATGGAAGCTAGGATTTCTAATTCAGTTTGTGTCCAACTTTCATAGTCTCATCTGGATATCTGCAAATATTAGCTGTTTCTTTTTTCACTTCTTTTTTCCCTCCCTTTGTCTATATCATTCCGTCCTGACCATTGTCTGTCTTCTCATTCAGATTTTGGGAGGTTTTGATGCATCCAATTACATTACTGAAAGGAAATGGGCTACCGCTTCGGATGGAACTCAAATTCCTATGTCAATTGTTTATCAAAAGAATCTTGTGAAACTTGATGGGTCTGATCCGTTGGTGCTTTACGGCTATGGTTCTTATGAGGTAATGTGGAATTTATGAAATACTAGTGTGTGAACAAGAACTTCTATTATTTTATTTTTTCACTGATTTTGGTAGTCTTTTTAAATAATTATAGAAGATGCAAAAGAAATCTGACTAAAATGTAAAGGTATGTAACATGTTCTTTTTTTATCAAAGAAAAGAAAAACAAAAAATAACTTTTTACTGTATATCACATGTGCATGAATGGGTCCATAAGTAGAAGCTTTTATCCTTTCTACTCTATATTTCCTCTGGGCTTTCTCTGCATTCTTGAATTCATGCTAATTGCAAGGAAAGGGGAAAAGCTAGGTGATCAATTATGGTGTAAATGTATGTGTACCCTGTGTGTGCATGCTAGCTTTTTCTTTTGATACATATTTCTTAATTTTCTGAAATCTTGTTGGATCATTTAGCTATTCTTGTCTTGCATGTCTTTGTTTTTTGTCATTAGAATCACTTAATAAATTATTAGTCTCGAAGTTTTCTGTTTTCTGTGTGATAGTGTCATCTTTCAGTTTGATGAATCATTTTAATTAGACTAGGGTTTGGAATTGTAATTTCCTTTTTTGTATTCTGTTTGTGTTGTATTGATGCTAACCTCTCTGTGGAATCTTGTATTGTGAACAGATATGCATAGATCCTAGTTTCAATGGGTCAAGGTTGTCTCTGTTAGATCGTGGTTTCATCTTTGTTATAGCTCATATTCGGGGGGGTGGTGAAATGGGGAGGCAGTGGTACGAAAATGGGAAGCTGTTAAAGAAAAAAAACACTTTTGAAGATTTTATTGCCTGTGCTGAGTACTTGATAGAGAACAATTACTGTGTAAAGGAAAAATTGTGCATTCATGGAAGAAGTGCTGGAGGATTGCTTATTGGTGTTGTTCTTAATATGAGGCCTGATTTATTCAAGGCTGCTATCGCGGGAGTTCCTTTCGTAGATGCTCTAACAACAATGCTTGATCCAACTATTCCTCTTACAACTTCTGAGTGGGAGGTACTTTTCACGTTCTTCCTCCTTTTTCTCTGAGGCTTATAGCTGCATGAATATTTCTATTGTGGTAGGCAATTTCTTACTGAAACGAAAATCTGAAGCAGGCATGGTTCAGTTTATTGTCTGTAACACCAATTGTGTGGAAAGAAATTGTTAGGTCTAGGATGATTGAGTTTGCTGGTAACATCTATTCAAGTCCATATATAAAATAAGGAGATGTAAGCGAGAAACATTAGGACATGGTTGATTGTAGTTTGCTTATGATCTGTTCTTCAGGTCCCTGTATCAAAGAAATTATGATATATATACATAGCAGCATATAGTATTGATATTCTCAAAAATAAGTTGACATGTCAAAAACTAATTGGGGATAGGATGAAAAATGTCCTCTATCTGTTATTTTGTATGGTGTGCATGCTTGACCATTAAGAGAAATATTTATTTGGATTGTGTTTATTAGAATTTAACAATGTTCTGTTTGGTAGTTATCCAAGACTTTCATGTTGATCAGCATAGATATAAGATGGTGGAAAATGAAAAGGAAAACCGTGGAAAACCACAAAGTGAAGAAGAGATTAACTTTAACAAGCTTAAATGCTTATTTTCCTGAATGACTTGTTCTTGTTGTGTGATACATATGACTAAACAATAGTAGGTGGAACTTTTATTCGACTAGTCTGACTTATTTTCTAAAGAGCTAAAGGCTTGATGTTCTAAGAAACTACAACATCAAAGTTATACCACTGGTGCTAACAGTTTTAGACACCATATTAAGCAATATACTATCTACTATTGACTTAATCCTACTGGGGTTATCACCCTAATTTCTAAGTCAAAGAAGGTTTGATTGAGGTTGTATTTCTTTATGAATTTGATGAGTGCTCCAACTGTTTCTTCGTTGGAGTTTGTGGAGGAGAGGATATGTAAGCTTTTGACAATGCGAGGACTTGATCATAGAAATCAAATGTGAATTTCCTCCAAGCATTTTTCTGTTGTTTTTTCTTATTTGCTGATCTGGTGCCTGCTTTGAACCCTCTTTTTTTTATTAGTTTCTTTTTATTTTTGAAATTAATGATTGCTCATCCAATATTACATCCAATATTAAGAAGAAACACCCATTTTCTTCTTTAAATGTTCTAGTCCTTGAAATATTGCATAACACCCCAGGTTGTTATATTTTTAGATTTATTTATGAAATTTTAGTCATTGCAAGTGGTTTCCTTCCTCAATAAGTTACTGTTCCAAGGGGTTCTGCATCTGGTTATTTCTGTTCTTGGCCCTGAAATGTGATTCTTGGTTGACTCCTTTTTCTTAATGCAGGAATGGGGTGATCCACGGAAGGAAGAATTCTACTACTACATGAAGTCATATTCTCCTGTTGATAATGTGAGCATTCTGCACCTGTTTTCTTTTTCTGAAACATGGAGTAGAATAACCAATGTTTGACATTGCACATGATTATTGAGGCTCTATTGCATGGTATTGGAGTTCTTCTGTTGTTTAGACTCTAACTTGTAATATTGTTAACCCAGGTTGCAGCTCAGAACTATCCTAACATTCTTGTTACTGCTGGTTTAAATGGTAAGCACTACTTTAGTTTCATTGGATTGAAATGGATTCTTATCTTATAGTAAGCTGGTGATGCTGCTTCATGTATAAGTATGGGTTCTTTCCCATCTAAGAGATCTGCATGATGGGCTTATTTCCTAGAATTGCAGTCCTGACTAGAATATTTGGTTGATGTGCTTTTTTGTTGTTGGTTCCATCTATATTCTGGCACATCTTTATCAAGCAGGACAATATACCATATTAGCAGCATGAAATTGGTAACTAAATGGAAATTTAGGAATCATCCTGGCTGATTTGGCACGTAATGAAGTGTTGTAAGCAACCTTCTGAGGCATCAAGTTTGGTAATCAAATGAGTTTAGGGAGCTTCATTGTTTTGGCACATAGTTTGACATGATTTTCTGCTAGTTCGTACTGAATTATTGTATTGTCTGTTTCAATAAATTACTATATGATGCTTTTTAATTGTATTTCATTCTTTTTATCTCAAAAAAAAAATTACTATATGATTCTTTGTAGGTCCTCCATGCTGGCTTAACGTTTAAAAAGCTGATTTTAGATGAGATTAGCTTCTATTCTGGTTAACACAATTTTCAAACAATGCATTTGATTGCAGTCTCTTTCTTCAGTATATTACATGTTGCCGTGATGGTTTAAGAGTTTTATTATGGGGTTATCCTTGTCAAATGTTGGGTTATTTGCCAAGGAAAATGAGGTCATCTAAGTTATTTGATTTGGCGCATTAGATAATATCTTTCTGGGGTTTCTCGCGTATGAATTGTGCTTTATGTTGATTGATTCTGCCATTTTTTCATTGCATACAGATTTGGTAAGTAGTGGGTTGCATTCTATTTTGAGAATGTTTTTCATTTGAGTGCACCCCCTTTGGTGTCCTGTGAACAAGTTCTTATTATGAACAAGATCTAGAAGTGAAGTTCTTTTGTTTTCCTCCATATTTAATTGTTGTTATTGCCATGAACCTTTTCTTATTGGTGAATCTAAACTCTGATTTATCACCACAGATCCACGAGTGATGTATTCTGAACCGGCTAAGTGGGTGGCGAAATTAAGGGATATGAAAACTGATGATAATGTACTCTTGTTCAAATGTGAACTCGGAGCGGGCCATTTTTCAAAGTCAGGGAGGTAATTCTAGTATTTACTTACCTTAGGATTTATTTTGTAAGGTATAGCTTTGGTAATTCATCAACATGTCTGCTTCTCTCTAGGATCAGAATATGATGGATTGGTTTTGACAATAGGTAAAAAGTGGGGTAGGAATCCTTTCGTAGCAGAGATTTTAGTTTTTCTTTGGAAGTCAGATTAGATATTATCAGATTGCCTTGACTTGAGTATAATATGAATACCCTCTTGGGTGCAGATTTGAGAAGCTCAAAGAGGACGCCTTTACATATGCTTTTATTATGAAAGCTCTAGATATTATTCCGGCTTCTGAGACAGAGCTGATTAAGACAAACATTAGCTCAATATGACGGATGCTACAATTGTATAGATTCTGAGCCTGTGCATGCTGTGGAAAATCTGCAATAATATAGGTAACTTTTCTTTTTGGATTGTTTTGAAATTGGAGGGAATTAGTTTCAGGTCACCACCATCGTTACTTGTTTATTTATTTATTTGAGGAACCAATGTTGTCATCTCTTGATTATTTTTTGAAATGAACCATTACTCAGAATTGTGCAATGGCAATTTGTCATTCTTTTATTTATGTAGATTTGAGTATTTGAGGAGATTCAGTTTATTTTATTTTATTTATGATCCTCTTTTAATAGGGTTGAAATGGATGGATTTGTATAGTCTGTATCTTGACTGGCTAAATGAAATGGAAATCATATTTCCTTCATCCAAGGAGTTTATACCCTACAACAGGAGCTGGATATTTCTTGTATTTTGGCCAAGTTGGGAGGAACTGTTCCATAACTTTCACAATCAAATACTATGAATCTCAAGAAGCAAAGGGATACTGGTTTGTAGGTATTTATCCTGAAACAAGAATGATTTTATTTTTGGAAGGAAAAAACAAAGGCAGTCTTCAGAATAACTTCAGTAAAAACAGATAATTCTCTTCAATTATAGGTTCTCCTATGGCCGTAGGTAGAATGTTCTCTTCCTCTAAAAGTTCGTATTTTGCCATTAATTAAAATAAAAAAGAGGACATGACGAACTTCTTATGGTTTAAAAAGGTGAAAAATAGAATTTATTGAAGTTCTTAAAAGTTCCCTACTTACGTGCTATAAGAGACTGACTCACCTAGGTATTACAGCTTACTTAATACTTCTCACGGTTTCAAACACTCCGTGAATTATTATTTTTATTAAATTATAGAATTAATAAAACACTAAACGATATTAACATTATTTTTGAATTTTATTCATATTTGATTAAAAAAAATAAACGAGGAGAAATGAAGTTTTAATTTCAAATTAATTCTATATTCAGTTTAAGTTTGATGATTCATTTGTTTAAGTAGAAATCTATTACTATGAATTTAAACATATCATTTGCAATTATCTTTTACATATTAAATAATTAAAATACAGAAATTCGTATGATTATGTAATATAATTTGTAATTATTTTCACACAAATTTTAAAGCTGTGAATGTAATATTCGGACCCGAAATTTAGTCTGAAATTAATTTTAGTGTTAAAAAATGTGTAAAAATTTATTTTTAAAATTAATGAATTTTAATTTAATGTAAAATTATGAAAAAAATAAGTTAAGAATGAAATTAAAAATAATTTTGAAAAAAAAAAGATAAAAATTTGGGTTCGGAAGGTGTTTTTGAAAGAAAAATCGAAAACTGGTGGTAAGAATGCAATTAAGAAAAATTGCGTCTCGTAGGACTGTCAAGTCAGCAGTCTCGACTAACTGGGGCGTACAACGTGGCAAGGCACATTGATTCTGTGCCATGCGGGAGCCATGCTGGCGATTCGCGTGCCCTGCGATCGGACGGTCTGGAAGTGTTCCCGCGTGCATGTACAGTCTAGATTCATTCTTTCCTCAAGTACGATCAGAAGGTTAGAATTAAATGCGATGAACGACTTAGATTCGTTCCCTCTTTAAACACGATCGAACGATTGAGATCAAATCGCGATGAATAATCCAGATTTATTTATTTTTAAACGTGATCGGATGGTCGAGATTAAACGTGATGAACAACCCAGATTTATGCGAGACGGATATAAATATTTCGCATCACACTAAACCCAAACTCTAGCCGCTAGCCTTTTGTCGTAGAAGAAGAACCAATCACTGGAGAAAGGAACCTACCATCGCCCCCTGCCGCACCGGAGTCACCTCTAATCGCCAAAAAATGTACAAATTCTCTTATTCGCTTGGAATTTGATTCCGAACATCCCCATAATCAAATTAGAGCAAAAAAATGGTAGATGAGCCGAAAATCGCGGACAAATCTTGATGGCGCCGCTGCAGGCAAAACTCACAACTGCCTCGGATGAGCTCATTCTCGTTTCTCGTTTCGTGCGATTTTTTAATTGTTGTGTTCACCTCCTGTTTTGTACAGGTTGACTGAAGAAAAATACTCAGCCACGAAGGTGAGCCAGCGGAGTTGTTGCACCGGAAATCTCACGCTGGTAGGTTTTTGTTTTTTTGACTTTTTTCGGTCAATCGAGGCCCTTTAACGTATTTTCTTGCATAGATGAGTATAAAATCTGAAAACGGTCAGGCCGAGGCAAACTGCTATCGCGGGCAGCAGTGCTCCGGTGCCGCCATGCTGGAATTCTGAAATTCGATAGAAAAGATTTTTAACATTGATTTTGGATTTTTGGGGTATTTTTAAGTACGTAAAGCATATTTTAATCTCCGCAAAAAAAATTTAAAAAATTCGGTGACCGTCAGTAGGTGCAATAGAAAGTTCAGTGTTTCGAACATCGATTCGGGTAAGAATCTCTCACCTTATTCTTTGTTATTGAATTGAATCTTAATAATCGATAATATAATATTTTGTATAATTTAGAAATTTTTGAGAATAATTACAAGTTACGAATGGAGCTGGAACTAGTTAGTCATTTATTGGTTGTCCTGTTTAACTGTAGCAGCCCCGGAAATTCATAATGAAATGTATATTAAAAATATCAAATGCGGAAGCGAAGTCAAAATTTGAATAACATCCCTTACACTAAAACCAAAAACGTGCTCACAAAATATAAAAGATCAAACTACCTAAAGGAGAAACTTGAAAGTAAAAACTACGAATGTGACTATGGAGTCTTTAGGCGTCCCCTTCGTCGTCCTCCTGCGGAACCGGCTCGGGAACGATGTCCTCTTGATCTGAAATGATTAAATAAGGAATGAGCTACACTAGCCCAGTAAAGACATCACGATATCTCACCGTCACAGAGGTAAAGGTGGGTAGAAAACATAAATAGACCAATGGAGCATAGTTTACAACAAATCCTTTTATCGATAATAAAACCTTTGCCATTCACTTACCTCGGTGAAATTTATAAAACAATATATGAAAGCAATAACATCATCATCATCATGAAACCATATATATAAACTGTATAACATAATACCTATCAAACTTTTCGTAATTCAATCGCTACACAACATATTTTCCTCATTTACCAGCCCACTAGTATCCATGGGGATCCATAGGGGTCCCGCTACCCATTAACCCTTAACACTTGAAATCATATTCCAGGGCCGTCCCCATAACCCGTCCGGTATGGGCGCCAAACCATAGACCTCATTACCCCGTCCGGTATGAGGGTGAAACGGGCCGTCCCCATACCCCGTCCGGTATGGGCGCCAAACCATAGACCTCATTACCCCCGTCCGGTATGAGGGTGAAACGGGCCCGTCCCCCATACCCCGTCCGGTATGGGCGCCAAACCCATAAGATCTCCATACCCCGTCCGGTATGGGAGACCACAATCCCGGTAGGGTTCCCTACGGACCCGGGTCCGTCCA